GCTGCTGAAGGCAGAGGGGGTTTCCAGTGGCCTAATGGACAAGGCATGAGCCTCTGGAGATACAAGTGCCATGCAGGAGACGCTTGAGTTCCAGCAGGCTGTTCCCCGGTTACTGGATCCAGGCCCTTACAGGAAACGTGAACACAGTGTGTCTGCCCAGACAGCACCCTCTCCGCTGGCTGTGCTGGGACAGCTTTAGTCATTTTGGCTGCGTGGGATTCTCCAGCGCCTCAGTGAACGGAAGCCGGCCATGTGAGGTCTGGAGGTCACCGCCCTCCTCCATACCGGCGCACCCGCCTGGGTGCTCTCTGCTCAGCCGACTCCTGGACCCCCAACAAGCACAGCCCCTGGCCAGCTGCAATCGCTGAGATGCCATGCTGCTTTTACCAGTGCCTCTCCCTGCTTTGCCCAGGCTCTGGGGAAGTCCGGACAGACAGGTTAGCACAAGAGGAGAACTCAATGCCGAAGAACAAGGCGTGTCACCTTGCGGTGCATGCTTACAGACGGGCACGGGGCTGGTGCTGCCGACAGGCTGAACTGCTTGGTTTGGGTGTAATTTCTCCGCTGTTCTGAGCCACCCGTCAGCTCCTGGGACCAGGGTGAGTGGCGCACAGTGGGATCAAAAGGACGCTGATCCGCTGACGTACATACAAGCAGTCTGCCCTCCAGCTGTACTGAACGTTAGGCAGGGAAAGCTGCCAGCACCCGTTGGCACACCACCTCCCAAGAGCCCGAGGTGGACCGGTCACAGCTGGGCCAGGCAGGGTGCACAGGGATACAGCTACCCAGCCAGGTGAGGTCATGGGAGCAGTGTTGCCTACTAAGCCACCTCTCTGTCTAGATGGAGTCCAGGGGCCGTTCTGTTGCCAAGCAGACCCTGAGAAACCAGATCCACTGAGCTCTGGAGGAGACGGTCCTGTTCTGACAGCTGCCACGCTCCGATGAAATGTAGCCCAAATATTCCTCTCGGAACAGCCAGTGCCCTGAACCAATGTAAGAATTAGATGCTTTTAACCTTGTTTTCAGACGGCTCCTTGCCTCTCCCCCAGTGCCTGGAATACAAACGCCAGAAGCAGACTCCAGCCCAGACTCCCGGCTAGCGGGAAGCTACAGGCACAAGGCGAGTTGCCAGCAGAGCAGCGATCTGACCTGACAGGTGAGCAAGCCTAGAGCCATGCCATTCCACGTGGCACTGCTGTGCCGCGGCGAGCAAAGACCTGCCTTGCTCCGTCAGTGGGGCTCAAGGGGCGTTGCCTATGTCCATTCCACATTAAGGCGAGGGCTCGCTACATGCACTGGTGCCACGTTTCCCCTCAGTGTCTACAGGGGAGCAGTGCTGGTGACCCCGGCATGGCTCCCTAAGGCACAGGAAAAGGGGCCCCACCCGTCATCCCCCCCAGCTTTCCTTTGCTGAAAACAGACAGTGGGGAAGGTAGGCGAGCCATGGAATGGACATGAGCAACATGTCTGTCACGTTACTGGGTCTTCAGGGGAGCAGCCAGATCACTGCTGTACCCATAGGTGGAGGTGTTGGCACCAAGAATGGTATAGAAGGGGGCCATGTGACGTATTGAATAGGAGCTTACTGTCTGCTGAGCCTATGTACGCTAGTCATGTGACTGTAAAATGTCTGTGTGTGTAGGTAGGAATCTGTGTAGATACTGAATATTTCTCTGCATGTGGTTGAGCAATGGGCAGAGACCGGCCTGTGGACATGCTAATCAGTGAGGCCTTGTGGGACAATGGCACTCGATGGGCCAAGGACACACCTAAAGCATGAGGGTGACTCATACCTAACGGCTACCAGCAGTGAACACAGGAATAAGCCGTGGACCAGGTGACCTGCTGTAGCCAAGAAGAGACCAGGAACGAGGGATAAATAGGCCATGTGGTGGACTCCATCTTTGTTCTCAGCTCAGCACTTCATCCCAGAGGCAGCAGTGCAGGGATCGAAGAACCCGGAAGACCTGTGGACCCATCCTGATCCTAGGATGCGCAACAAGGACTTAAACCAGCAGCTGCAACATCTCTGCTAGAGCCTGCATCGAGGACTGGGAGATTCGGTGCATGTAACGTACTATCCTTTAACAACCTCACTCTCAGGCTTTTCTTTTTTGTAATAATAAACCTTTAGATGTTAGATGCTAAAGGATTGGCTCAGCGTGATTTGTGGGTAAGGTCCAGAGGGTAAATTGACCAGGGATCTGTGGCTGGTTTCTTGGAACCGGACAGAACTTGTTCGGGGTAGGTGGGATTGGGTGCTAGGACCCCCC